CTTCAATTTTATTTTAATATAAAACATGAGTTGATATTTTGCATTAAAAATTTCATTGCTAATTTTCTAAAAATAAAATATTTTTTGTGAACATGAATTGTCTCCTTATCTTATATCTCCATTGCAAGTATAATTTTTCGAAGCATTGAGTGGTAGATTAAATGGATCAAGTTGTTTTCTCATCTTTGTCAGTTTTCTAGAAGAAGAAAGCATAAGAAGAAATGAAACAAGGGCCTAAAAGCTGTTATCTATCAAGAAGATGAAGTTCATGGATTGGGTTACTTGAATACTCAAAAAAACTATACAACCTACCAGCTTCAATTAACAATTCATAATTAACTGGACTAATTTGGTTATCGGTTCGACCTGATTATGCAATTTTGAAAACAAACAGAGCAAATAAGGGAAATTTTCACTAAAAAAATAATTGTRCTAATTATAAAACAATAGAAAAACAGGAAAAATGCTAATTTTTTGAAGSATTAAATGGTTGGTCAAATGGATTAAGTTGCTTCCCCATCTTTGCCAATTTCCCACCAAAAGAAGAAAGCCAAAAACGAAATGAACTAGAGACCTAAAAATCACTATCCATAAAAAAGACGAAATTCAAGAGTTGGATTATTTGAATACTCAAAAATTGTTCAATCCGCTAGTTTCAATTGCCAATTCATACAAAATTGGACCAATTTGGTTTGATCGGTTTGGTCCTAATTATGCAATTTTGAAAACAAAAAGAGTAGGACCAAGATATTTGTACATTTGAAAACCATCCATTTGCTACTTCAATTACTGGTTCATATGGAACTGGACTAATCTAGTTTGATTGGTTCCACCCAGTTATGCAATTTTGAAAACAAAAGAGCAAATAAGGGAAATTTTTTAATTATAAATAGAAAAAAAATGAGATAACAAGAAAAATACTAAGAATTTTGTTAATTGATAGAAAGACAATAAAACAAGGAAAAATTTCTACAAAAGATTAGAAAATAACAAAAAATAGAAACATGATTTTTTTTAATTAACTAATAAAATAAGAGAAATTTTCATTTAAAATAATAGAACTTATCAACATATTAAAAATAATATTTTTTTTGAGAAAAAATAAAAAATCAAATTGTAGCAAAAAARTTAAAATAAGGGAAAATTAAAAATCAACAACTTACAATGAACTTAATAATCAAAATAAATTAAAAAACTTAGTTTTATTAACTTACTTTGAAATTAGTAAAGTATGTTACTTTATTTTAACTTAATTGCATTTTACCTGAAATACAATAATTAAGAGTAATTAACACATTTATAGTAATGATTAATTAATTAATTAAATTATTTTATATAGGCCAGGTCAATTTTTTTTTGTTGGACCAGATCCATTTAGGTAAACTAAAGGCCTGTTCGTTTCCTCTTAACTCATATCTCTTAAGAGGAATCTTTTAACTTTAATAGAAAAATRATTGTTTATTTCCTCTTATCTCTTATCTCTTAAAGTGCAATCATACAACTTTTTGTTTTTCAATGATACCCCTAAAAAAGAAAACAAAAACTCTAATATATGGGGTCAAAATAGATATTTGATAATTTCCAGAATTCAGAGTTCAGAGTTCAAAACAACATTCTCTGCATTCAAAGTTTAGAGGAAAGAAAAGTTCACCAATACCAATATACCTCTTAATGTAATTATTGCACTTTCAAATGTCAGACTTTAGAGCAAACGAACAGGCCCTAAGACAAATATGGCAATTTCCTCATCTCCACTAGGTATTTGACCTCCCCATCCCAAATGAGTTGGGAATGGAGAGTTGGAGACTAMTCTAGTGAGGACAAGGATGAGATTTAGATATCTAAATATCTAACCAAGGATAGTGATTGATATGGGGAGTGAAGTCCTTGCCCCACCATGGCCTCGACTGTAATATTATAGTATTTTGAAAATATTATTTATATTATGAAATTTCAATATATATATTTAGAGAGAGAGAGAGAGAGATGGTAGATCAAATGGATCAAGTTGTTTCCCCATCTTTGCTAGTTTCCCAATAGAAGAATACTAAAAAATTGTTTAACCCACTAGCTTCAATTACCAATTCATACAGAATTGGACCAATCTAGTAAGATCAATTGACTTGACTATTCAATTTGAAAACAAAAAGAGCAGGGCCAAGGTATTTGAATGTTCGAAAACCATCCATTTACTAGCTTCAATTACCAATTCATATGGAATTGGACTAATCTAGTTTAATTAGTTCGACCAAGTTATGCAATTTTGAAAACAAAAGAGAAAATAAGGGAAATTTTTACAAAAAATAATTTTGATAATAATAAAAAAAATAAAAAAAAGATAATAGGAAAAATATTAAGAATTTTGTTAATAGATAGAAAAAAACAATAAAACAAGGGAAATTTTCTAGAAAAGATTAGAAAATAACAAAAAAATAGAAACATAATTTTTTAATTAACTAATAAAATAAGAGAACTATTCATTTAAAACAATATAATTTTTATCATATTAAAACTTTAAAAGTAATATTTTTGAGGAAATATTAAAAATAAAATTGTATAAAAAATAAAAATAAGGGAAAATAAAAAATCAACAACTTACTTTACACGATTCACTTATGAGCTTATTAATCAAAATAAATTAAATAACTTACTTTAAATTTAATAAAGTTACTTTATTTTAACTTAATTTTATTTTACTTGAATTACAATAATTAATAGTAAACACATTTACAATAAGGATTAATTAATTCATTTAGTTATTTTATATAGGCCAAGTCAATTCTTTTYTGGAGTTGGACTGAATCTAAATTAATTCTCATCCTTGTCCCCGCTAGAGTAGTCTCCATTCCCAACTCATTTGGGATGGGGAGGCTGAGTACTAGTGTACATATATAGTAGGGACTTATGCGATGCATGGGAAAACCCAAACCCTATGTCCAATTTGATGATAAAAAGGATTAAAAGGATATATTGAATGTCAATAATATGGCAAATTTATGTAAATTGTATGACCTATGTTTGGGCCTGTCCCGTGCAGATTTTGGGTAGTGGCCTATGTATGGGCTGGGCCAGGGTGGAGTAGTCTATGGCCTATATTTGGGCTTGAGTTAAAGCAAACTGGGTTGTGGCACAGGATTACTAATTTTTAGTAAATTACCCACAAAATGCACCACAATTTAAGCAGTAAATATCACTAAACAAAATAAACCACAAAATACACAAATAATTCAAAGTTAAAGAGATAAATTCACCACAATTTAAGCACCACAACCAGTAATTATTCTATAAATTTTAATTATGATTTTTTCAGTAATTATTGATCCAAATAATTAATTAATCCATGATAAGTATTAATAGATCATTTCATAAAAATACATAAACTAAATTACTAAAAGTAAATAATTAACAAAAAGAAAATAATAATAATAATAATTTAGTGTTCAAAAAGAATAGTTTAATTTCAGGTAAATTACTGAGCTGAATAATTAATAATATCTCTAATAATTATTAATCATTGATTTTTTACTGAAATTAACTTTCCATTGAAAAAATTCAATGAATATCTGAAAATATCAATAATTATTTACAAATTCATAAGTTTTAATTATTAATCTCAGCAACTGATTTGTACTGAAATTAATTTCCACTAAAAGTTATGGAAAAATTTTCAGTAATTTGTGAAACATTAATTTTTAATATTTGGAAAAAGCAGCAATAACTTGTAGTAAAATAAGTAATTAATGACTGTCAATTTAAGAGTAAGCTAACTGATTAAGGCGAGTAATTAATGTCAATTAATTAACAATCTCTATGATTACTATTAAGTTATTTTCCTATAATTCCTATTGCTTAATTAATTAATTAACCAACAATAAATAAATAATTAACAGAATAATGAATAATATAATTAATTAATTATTTGGTTCAGGTTGCACTAAACCCAAACCATTAGAATTAATGAACAAAATAATGCAACTCTAATGTAAATTAAAGACAACATTAATGGTTCGGATCTGGTTCAGGTTGAACGTACCCGAACCAATAGTATTGTCATCTTAACCCGAAAACCAATAGTATTGTCTTCTTAACCCGAATTAGAGCTACAGTGACCGCTCGACATAGCAACCACAATAGTGGTTCTGGGTGAAGAAGCACACCTATTTTGGATCACTATCCCTTTGCAATGTTTTTTAATCAGCAGCGTTGTAAAGATCAAAATAAGTTCCAAAGAAGAAGCTTCAGAGTTCATCTTAGTAGGGCTGCTACACCCCATTGTTTTGTGCCCAAAATGAAAAAGTAAAGGTGAAATAAATACTCAGGAGGGACTTTCTTTGTCGCTCTTGATCTCTGCAACGTTTGAAATCAAAGTTTTCTGTTTTTCTCTCTGCAATGTCTACAACATCTTAATGAGCCAATCTAGAAAACGAAAGATGTCTCTTCTCCTTGGGAAGAATGATGTTCACTATTGCTTTCGATAAAAGAGAAGATAAACCAGTGGTGTATGAGTCTCGTTAACAGAGCATCAGTACAAGCGTAAAAACAGGGGAGTCTTGAAATAGGAGCATCAGGCTTGTTTTGGTAAGTTTTGAAACCATTATGATTTGATACCCTGATAGGTTAGGTTAGCTGGCAAATAGAGACCTTCCTTGAAAAGAGAAGTCTCTTACCACGTGGCCAATTGGGARGCCTAGATAGGGGAAGGGGAGGAAAGAGAGAGAGTGAATGAGAGAGTTGTAAAGGAGAAGGGAAACTCCACTAAAAAGCAAAAAAGAAACACTCAATTAAATGATGTAAGATTTATAAAATGGCTTTATTGCTTGGAAACAAAACCTATTTAACGGGAGTCAAAACAGAAATTATGAGAATACAGGCCCCCATACTTTAGTTCGGGATGGTCATTCTCTAGTTGCAATGAAGAAAACAAGGACCACCTTGTCAAATGTGCGCTTGCTTTTTCGTAGCCAAACTCAAATGTATTTTGGGACCCATCAGATCAAAACTATAGCCAGAAAACTGGAAACAATGCTTTTCATTACTATAAAACAATGCATATGATACATAAAAATATCATACAATTAAGTTTGTCTGGATTTTTCAGTGCTGTTTACTCTATCTGATTGCCCTTTGTGTTTAAGTGACTTACTTGAATTAACAGAGCCAACTTTACCACTCTCAAATGGTAATACAACCACAGGGGCTGCAGGTATAGTATCCCAACGTTCCTTCAAGAAGCTCATGAACCTCGTTACCATTTCTTTACGGAACTCAAGCTCCCGTGTGAACAAATCAAGAAGTAAAAATGCAAGGATATAGCGGAAAGGGATGACTAGGAGAATAATTGCAGCAGATAATAGCACCAGAGAAACCTCAGTTGTTGTCTGCAAGCAAGTTGGGCATGAGAATACCGTAAGATTAACTCAAAATTTGAAATAATAAAATGCAGCTTGTTGAGATCAAGAACCACATTACAAATAAGTTACAACCTATTAGAGACAATACTCAGAGAAATGCATGGTCAGTATGCAATACATACAATTAGCTAAAATAAGAAAGAAAACATGTTCGTAGATAATTACAGTCCATAGAGACATGAGGCATACACTAAACATAACGAAGCCTTACCCCAACTATATGGGGTCTGGCCAAGGAACATGAGACATAAGATGAAAGAAATTTTCAGTCCCTGATGAATCAACAAGCATAAAAAAAATATACAAAAATAAATAAATAAATACTGCATAGAATATCACAGTCAAGCAGTTTCCTTTTCTATTTCAGTGGGTCATCAGTGCGTTTGGGGAGCACTATAGTAGTTGTGTTTATCATAGGGAGATCTCAAATGGTGCTTGTGTATTTGCTGTTGTATGTTGATTGCTTCTAGAGACATGTCTGAGATCAACAGTTTGAAGAAATAGTTGAGTAGTGAGTTTGAGATGAAGAATCTGGATGCAACCCATAGTTTCAGCCCACTTCGGGTTATCTGCAGCTTTGTCACAACAGATAGAAGAGTAGGAGCATATTTCTTGTGCTCCTCATGGTAATCTAATGGGTAGTATTATGTATGCTATGGTTTGCACTCATCTAAATATTTCACATTTTGTCAGTGTTGTAAATAGGTTCATGGGAAATCCTGGAAAAGGTCATTAACAAGCAGTTAAATGGGTTCTCTGATATCTCCAAGGCACCACAGGTTTTGGCTTAGTTTATGAGAAGAATTGTGACAATGGTGGTAGTGATGTTGGCTTTGTGGATTCAGATTGTGCAGGTGATTTAGATAGGAGATCTCTGATAGGTTGTGTTTACACTTCCTTTGGGTGTGCCATAGAAATTTTGCAGCCTACAGTTGTCTTGTCTACTACAGAAGAAAGAGTATATGGCAGTAACAGAGGGGGTGAAGGAAGCATAATGGATGAAATGTTTGGTTGGTGATCTTAGCTTGCATCAAGAGTCTACTGTTGTGTATTGTGATAACCAGAGTGCCATACATTTGACCAAAAATCTGATGTATCATGAGAGGCCAAACAAATTGATGTCAGATATCACTTCATCCAGGAAATCATGTCTCAGGGTGCTATTTCTGTGAAGAAAATTGCTACAACTGAGAATCCTACTAATATATCGATACGATAAAGACTCTCCCCGTGGTAAGTTCACGCATTGTTGGACATGATTGATGTTTGTAGAATCTAATATGCTTCTTGGGGGCTTATTTGGTAAAGGTGGAAAAAGTTTCCTACTTGTTGTGTGGTTTGATGTTCAAACCAAGGTGGATATTTGTTGTGTATGGACTTGAATTCCTATTTATGGCCCGCCGACCCAACATTCGTATGGACCCAGTCCRCTTTCACTTATTTGGGTCCCCTATATATTGTACTTGCTTTTAGAGTTCAACATGAGGACAAACAGATTGAGAGAGAGGGTTAGAGTCAGCATTCAGGGATATTTTAATCATTATAGACTATTTTATCAAAAGGTGTTTTGTCTATTTTGTTTCAGTTTAAGTAGGGTGTCCCATATTTAAATAGGGACATGAGTATCTTCGTATAACTTTCACAAACCTATAACTAAAGCCTGGTTGGCTGAGAGGAGGGTGATTCTCTCTAGCTCAGATCATCTTTTCCATTTCCATCTGTTCTTTTCTTCTCCTTCTCTCTCTCTCTCTTTCCCTTTTATCCTAGGTGTGAAACTAGTGCAACCAAACTGTAAATACATTGGAAAGAGTAGAAGGAAGACTGTTTATAAGATATACCAAAGTTGCTACAGCATTAGCCTGTGAGGAAGGAGGAGCACCTGAATCCTAAGGAAGTGTGCAAGTCATTTAAAGGAGACGATGGTTCTTCCTCTCAACTACACAATTTTGTTGAGGTGCGCCAAGACATGAATACATGACTGTTGGGATAAAATACCACATAAATGCAATAAGTCTCAGAATTGATTATCCATGTATTCTCCCCTTGAATTTGAATGAAGAACTTCATCACTGAACAATACAAAATATTTGAATTCCATTTGAGACAAAGTAGGTGTAGGCCCCCATACATCACAATGAGCTATTTCAAAAGGGGAGAAAGGACGATCATGTTTAATAGAAAAAGGTGAAATAGTACTCTTGCTTAAAAAACATGTAATACAAGAACCTAGTGATGATGTAAAAGGAGGTAATTACTCTTCAAAAAACCAGAATGAATGTCTGCAGTTAATTTATCACAAAGAGGATGACCAAGATGACAATGTCAAAGCTACCAACAAGTATCACGAGAATTCCTAGAAGAAATAAAAAAAAAAACCTAGATGGTGTAGAATCACGMTCAAATTCCAAAGCAAAGAGACATCTAACCTTACGACCCCTCCTTGTCACTTTCTCAGTGAGTTGGTTCCAAATCAAGCAACCATTACGTGAGAAATAAACACCATATCCATTATTAACAAGTTGTCCAACTGCAATCAAATTAGCGGTGATTTTAGGTACAAGAAATACTTGCTTTAAAGGCAATGAGCCAAAGGGCGAAGCAGAAAGGGTCAAATTATCCATGCCAAGGATTTGAGCTTTATGCCTTTATCACCAATTGGTAGTGTCAATTTGATTATCACCAGAATAAAGGGGTGTAGGTTGAACTAGGTGAAGCACAAGCCAATGTGATTTGATGCTCTAGAACCAATGATCCAAAGAGGACCAACAGGAGAGCTAAAGTGGCAAGGATTACCAGAAAGTCCTAAAGCTAAAAMAATAGATGTGATTGTAGAAGCAATCATTGTTTGAACCTATTGTTCAGAAAGACCACTAGATGCATGAAAGGATTTCCCTGAAGAGGTGGTTGTACTCCCAGAAGATGTAACAATAGCTTGTATGTCATCAGTAGTGGCTTGATATGCCTCATAACTCTTCTTTCCTTGAGATGACTTGGCTCTGCACTCATTCACTACATGTTGTTTCTTGCGGTAAACAAAGAAGTTCCACTTCTTTCAATGGGATGTAATGTGGCCATACTCCTTCCACTTAGTGACACTGTACATGAGAAAGATTTCTATTACCACCTGCACTTTTACCCTGAAAGGTTTGTGCTACAAATGCCACACTAGTTTCCTTCTTAGCTTCAAGTACAATGTGTACTTGCATATGAGTTTCTTCCCTCAGTAACTCTCCAAGCATCACATCCATATCACTAATATCACCTCGATTGAGAATACTGGCTCAAATCATTTCAAATTTTGGATGCAATTTCATGAGAAACTGCATAACATTGCGTTCATCATTAATCTTTAAAAACTTTTTATTGAAGGGGTAGGGGCAAACCACTTTCTTTCCCCTTATCTTTTCTTCCCTTCCCTTTCCTTTTATTTTCTTTCCTTTCTCTTTTTTTTTTCCTTCTCTTTCTTTTTCTTTTCTTTCCTTTCTTTTTTTTTTCTTTTTTCTTTTCTTCTATCTTTTTATCTAAGATGTGCATGAGGCGCATGAGGCGTATGCCTCAAAGGTGTCAGCGCCTCTGGCATATGCCTTGGGGCATTTTGGGAGCGCCTTGCCTGGAGGTGCGCCTCCAGGCATAGGCCTCCTATGCCTTTTAAAACATTGGATGAGAAGGAGTTGCTTGTGAGAGTGAAACATTCTAGGGGCTTATGTTTAAATATTTTAATTGGCTTCTCCAGCAAGCCATCAGGTCTTATAAATGAGAAGGGAGTTCTTTCTGTAGTGGTTTTTTTGGTTCTTTCTCTATTGTTTGAATTGTAGCTCAGCCCCAGCTAGGGTTTTCAAGTATTGGGAGCTTTCTCTCTTGTTTGAAGAGTCAACCCATTTTGCCACCTTCCAATCCCTCTATTGTTGTGTGTACGCACAAGAGGCTAGATGATGGCATTGTTACTATGCAGAACTGTTCCAGGAGGTGTTGTACTTCAGATTTGTTGGAATAATGTTAAAATAACTTAGTTGCAGATGTTAG